TTTTTTTTTTAAGATTTTATTTATTTATTTATTTGAGAGAGAGCACAGAGGGAGAGTGAGAAGGAGAAGCAGACTCCCCAATGAGTGGAGAGCCCGATGTGAGGCTTGATCCCAGGACCCTGAGATCGTGACCTGAGCCAAAGGCTTAACCGACTGAGCCACCCAGGTGCCCCCCTTTTTGGCATCTTATTTGCAAATCCAGTATTTATTCCTTCAATAACTATCTGTTGAGCGTCTGGGCTGCCCTAGATACTGTAGTCCTAGAATAGGCCTGAGTACACAGATAGGGTCCCTGACCTCATGGAGCTTATACAGATATTTCCTAATTTACTCATTATCTTTCAGTCATCCAAACTCGTCCTTAGGCTACTTTGGGGATTGTGATGGGTTTTTTGTTTGTTATTCCTAAAGATTTTATTTATTTATTTGTGAGAGAGAGAAAGAGAGCACAAGTAGGGGGTGAGGAGGGGCCAAGGAAGAGGGAGAAGCAGGCTCCCCGCCAAGCAGGGAGCCTGATGTGGGGGGGCTCGATCCCAGGACCCTGAGATAGTGACGTGAGCTGAAGGCAGACGCTTAACTGACTGAGCCACCCAGGCTGCCCGGGATTATTACCGTTTTTTACAAAATGACCTCAAGTAGGTCCTTAATGTTGCCTGACAAGCATTTTTCATTTTCCCCTGTCTATTCACGCTCCTGCTCTCCTAGATGGCCATATCCTACCTTCTTAAGCCTTGATTCCAGTTGATCTTGCCTCCTGTTCCCCTAAGAGAAAATAAAAGCAATCAGAAGAGAACTTTCAAGCTCCCACTGTCTCATTTATCCACTCCCTGCATCTGTGCCTGGTGTTCTGCTTTTTCCTGTTACCAATGAACTGCCCGTCCTCTTAGGGGAGCCAAGCCTTGTTTCCGTGCACTGCGTTCCCTCCCCATTGGCCTACTACTTAAAGACCTCCCACTGTGCTGGGTCTTTTCTCATCAGTGCGCAGACATGCCACAACTCTCTCTCTCTTCCCAGTCGCTCTTGAACCCACTCCAGTCAGAATTTTATTGCTCCATTGAAACTACTCTTGTCAAGGGCACAGTGACCTTCATGATGTTAACCAGTGACCTCTCAGCTTTTGGTACAGCCAGTGCCTCCTTTCCCCTTGAATTTGGCATCCAAGACAGCACACTCCCCTACTTCACTGGTCCTTTCCTGTCCATGTCTTTTGCTGGTTCCTCATTATCCTCAAACTCTTAATGTTACGGTGCCCCACATCTCAGCCCTCAGGACTCCTTTCTTCTCTATACTCTGTTGGTAATCCCATTCAGTTACGTGGCTTTGGACACCATCCAAAAGCTGACAACTTCCTACTTTAATGTTGAAGTTTAGTGTGTGGGTTCCAATTGGGTTCCACAATTTAAAGCTGTATGATCTTGGGCAAGTTACTTTACCTTTCCTTGCCTCCATTTCTTCATGGTAGCGTTTGTTGAAAGAACGGATGAAATAACAATAAAACTACTTTTAACCAGGAAAAACAGTAGAGTTCACAAGTTTCTTTGTAGAACCTCCAATAGAGAAAAATAAGAAGTTCTCTGTTTCACAAGTGAAGGGGAAAAATTAGTAACTTGTATTACTAATTCCATTCCAACTCTTTATCCTGTCACACAGTTGAATGTCTTTAACAGTGTGATCTAGTTTCTCCCCTAACAGCTCTATGGAAGTTTCTTCATGTAAGCTACTAGTGACCTAAATACCAAATTTGGAGGGCATTTTTTGGCTCTTACAGTACTAGACCTCACTGTTGATCTCATTCTCCTTGGAACTTCTCTCTTGGCTTTCACAAACCTGTGACCAGTCTTCTCTCTCTCCTCCATACTCCTTAAATATCAGTGTTTTCCAGGGTTCCTTTCCCAAATGGCTTATGGTTCTTGCCTGAAACTTGGCCCTCTCTGAATAGGGGGGGACTTGGAGGTTCTCCTTGTTACCCACACTTGCTTTCAACCCATTACTTCCTGTTCCTCTTAGAAACCCCCGTTCCTTTGAGGTTTCTACCGTCTGACATTTTACCCTTCTCTTCTCTGTGTTGCTGTCCTCTGCCAACCTCTCCCTCACATACTGAGTGTCTCAACACCTTGTTCACCCTCTGAATCCCCACCATTCTCCGCCACTCCTCAGTTCACTTAGCTTCCTGTCAACTGTGAACTCTTCTTCACCCAGCCCCAGACGCACACTGCCAGAGACATCCTGAGCCTTGTCTGCAACAAGTGAACCACCTCCACATTCACACATTTAGACACTGTTTTCTGACCACGGTTGTCTTCCTTCCAGCTTGCTTGTTTAGGGCCCATGGAAGCAATTCTTTGACCTCACTTGTCTGAACCTCTCGGGCCTACTCATCTAGGAAAGCCCCGGCCCTGGACAAATCTAGCCACCTATCATCTTTCACACACTGGAGACCGTCACCTCACCCAGGGGATGAGCTGGTGACTGTGATTTTGTAGTGTTTCAGTGGTCCTCTAGCTCATCTTTCTCATCCCCATCAATCCCTCCTTTCAATAGCTGGCAGAGTGATTCAAAATGCAAGTCCAACCATGTCACTCCTCTGCCACCGTCATTGTTATCCCATGTTGTAAAAGGCCAGTGCCTCTCAGATTTGAACATGAATATGAGGCACCTGGGAGTCTTGTTAAAACGCAGGCTGTGCTTCAGGAGGTCAGGGGTAAAGCCTAAGAGTTTGCATTTCTAACAAACTTATTTTACCATCTTTATTTTTCTCATTTTTATGAGATAATCTCAAGGTTTGGTAATCTAGATCAGAAATTTTGAACTCCTAAGTAAAAAATTAGAAGGGTTTATTGCTTATCTTATCCTGAAGTTCCAATGTCAGAGTTGGACGGATCTCAGAGGTCATTGAGGTTTATCTCCTCACTGTAGGGATAAAGTGTGGAGG